AGGAGGAGGAGGAGGAGGAGCCCCCGGTGGCGGGAAAGCGGACCCCGGGAGGGAGGGAAGGAGGGAGGGAGGCGCCGGCCCGGGGGACGCCGGCGGCCCGCACGGAGTTCGAGGCTCTCCCGAGGCTCGTCCGGTGGGGCCGTGGAAGCGGGCTGGCTGACAAATGGTTAATCGCCGGCTTCCCCTCCCGACGGAAGAAGCCGAGGCAAAGTTTTTACAGCGGGGCACAACGTGGGCGCCCGGTTCCGGTGTCTTCGCCCCTGGAAGCGCACTGAGACTCCTTAAACGTTAAGAGTTTGCAGAGCTGCAGAATCGGAAGTTAGCATTGGGGCGCTCTCAAGCTGGGGCTGCCTGGGCTCCGGGCCTCCCAGCCATTCTGGGTACGGGCTGGAAACACACAGCAGGGTTTCTGACAGTGGAACCCCGAAAAAAAAAAATAAAAGAGGGGGAAGTGGTCTTACAGATTTACAAATACCTGCGTGAGTCGTGTGAATGTGTGAGACCTCACTTTTCTTTTTAAGTTGTAGATACCCCAAAGCTTAACTTTTTCATCCAAAGAAAAGGATGGCCCAGGAAAACTCAGGGCAGCAGTGTTTGAGCGATTTAAGGTCAAGATTGAAACACCCGCCTTTTAACTAGCCTATAGTTGCAGCTATTCAAGAGACTTGAGCTCAAGACTTTTAGACTAGTAACACACGAGGCAGGGAGGAGGCAGATCTCCTTAGATATGTATGTGGTCTCCGTGCTTGGGAGGTTGAGGTAGGTTTGGGAGACCTAAAGAATAAAAACGGGGGGGAGGGGGTGGAATGTAGTATTATTTGTTTGAGACAGGGTCCCTCCATATAACTGAGGCCAGCCTGGAACTTACTGTATAGCCCAGGCTGGCTTCTCAATCCTCCTGGCTCCACCTCTGGCCTATTGGGATTGCAGATAGGCACTCATGTATTATCATGCCCAGCAGTTTCACCCTTATTGAATGTTATTTTTTTATGTACTGGTAAAATATAACTTTTGTCGGGCGGTGGTGGTGCACGCCTGTAATCCCAGCACTCAGGCAGGTGGATCTCTGTGAGTTCGAGACCAGCCTAGTCTACAGAGCTAGTCCAGGACAGGCTCCAAAGCTACAGAGAAACCCTGTCTTGAAAAACAGAACAAAAAAGAGAAGAAACTATGACTTTTAACAATATACAACTTTGTTACGATTTGTCTCAGCATTTGTTCTACTGTTGTGAATAAACACCATGACCAAGGCAATTCTTAACAAAACATTCAATTAGGGGGTGACTTACGGTTTCAGAGGCTTAGTCCATTATCATCATGTCGAGAAGCATGGAGACAGACATGGCAGGCAGAAGAGAGACCATGGGCCTGGCATGGAATTTTGAAACCTCAAAGCCCACCCCAAGAGATACACTTCCTCCAACAAGGCCACACCTCCTAATCTTTTTTATCTTTTCAAATAGTGCCGTTTCCCTCAAATATGTGATTCTATGTGGGCCATTCTTTCCCCCTTCCACCCCCCAAAGACGGGGTTTCCGCTTTGTTGACCAGGGTGACCTTGAACTCAAAGAGATCTGCCTGCCTCTGCCTCTCAAGTGCTGGGGTTAAAGATGTGCGCCACCACAGCTGAGCACAGGGGGCTATTCTTATTCAAACATTGTACTATTATATAATTTTGTAAGCATTCAAAAGATGGTAAACGCTGGGATTTGTAACATAATTAAAACAAATTGCAATCCTCTTTAAAATGTCTGGTTTTGGGAGGGGCCTTTTAATTCTAGCTGCCCAGGGGCCCAGGGCAGGTGGAACACAAATTCCAAGGGAAAAAAAGTAACCGCCCACTGAAAGTTATTTTGTTGCTGCTTCTGCTGTTGTTTTTGAGACATTGTCTCATTTATGTAGCCCAGGCCAGCCTCCAGTTCCCCATTCTCTTGCCTTAGCCTTACATACATACCCAAGGACACCTGTCTTTTTACTTTGTTGTCTTGCTTTTTTTTTTTTTTTTCAAGACAGGGTTTCTCTGTGTAGCTTTGCGCATTTTCTGGAACTCATTTTGTAGACCAGGCTGGCCTCAAACTCACAGAGATCCGCCTGCCTCGGCCTCCCAAGAGCTGGGATGAAAGGCGTGCGCCACCACCGCCCGGCCTTTTTACATATTTTTAAACATTCATTTTATTTATATTGTGGGGAGTAGATTTGAGCACACCACAACCATCAGTCCTATGGAGGCCAGAGGACAACTTGCAGGAGTCAGTTCTCACTTTCTATTATGTGGCTTCTGGGGAATTAAACTCAAGTTGCTAGGCTTGGCACAAAGTGCCATTTACCTGCTGAGCCATCTTGCCAGCCTCTGGCAATTTTGCTTGATTGGTTTGTGTGTTTCCTCTTTTTTTTTTTTTTTTTTTTTTTTGGTTTTT